GGTGTTCTACTGTCCTGTATTTCCTTGCTGAAAGAAACTGTCAGTGAGGCATTGGTTGATTAGCTTTGTATGTCTATATGTGTTTTCATGAGAAACTTTTTTGAAGATATCAATATGTAATACAATAAGCATTGTTAATTCCCCACCACTCTGTTTGTAACTCTGTAATGTCTGTACTGATCCTTTGCTATTTTGTAAAACGTTGTTGATCTGTTAGTATTTTCCTCCTTTATTTCTAAAAAAAAAAAAAAAAAAAGACAGCAGTGCAGAGGAGCAGGGACAGGAAGCTGGAAGGTGAGTGGGAGATAAACAGCCACGTGGCAGAGGCAAACTCTTCCTGGGCACTAATTCCCTTCCTGGAAGGGGCACCACCCTCCCAGTCAAAGACAGAGGTTGGGAGAAGGGATGGGAAACATGATCCAATTAGATTCTAAGACAAAAGTAGAAAAGGAAAGAATGGATGTAAGGTCCTGTTATGGTTTGTGTCTGGATGTCCCCCCAAAGCCTCATGCAGTCATGGGGCGGGCTTTTACAGTTTTTGATTGATCCATGATCCAGTGCTGGGATTATGGATGTGAGTGCTACATCCACACTGCGGCACATAGTTTGCAACGTAAGGGAGGGAAAGAGGTTGCTTACTGCTGCTCCTCCCTTTTGCTCTTGTTGATTATGCTGTCTTCCACTGCCATGAACAGTTGCCCTCTGCTGTGTGCTACTCTGCCTTGGAATCAGCCAAGTATGGACTAACATCTCCACAAACTATGAGCTAAATAAACCTTTCCTTCCCTAATTTTGGGCATCAGGTATTTTGTCTCAGCAACAAGAGAAAAATAACCAAGATAGGACCTCTGTGCCAAGGATGGGACAGTTGGCCACACTAACGTTGGAGTAGATTTTCAGTCAAGAAAAGGTGACAAGAGACAGGGACCTGGTGTGGGTAGGAGCATAACACTAGATCCAGCAGGTCGGGCCGGGGATATAGCTCAGCAGCACAGTGCCTGCCTGGCAAGTGCAAAGTTGTGAGTTCAATTCCTGGTACAAAAAAGCAGGTGTAGCTATTCTGTTTGTAGACAATATGAACTTCAAACCAAGAATGACCAAAAGAGATAAAGATGGTCACTACATACTTGTTAGGGGAGAGCTTCAAGAGAAAGAGCTAGCAATCATAAACATCTATGCACCAAATACAGGAGAACCCAGCTATATAAGAGAAATTTTTAACAGACATGAAAAATGAAATAAGCAGTAACACAATTATAACAGGGGACTTTAACACCTCACTGTCACAAAGAGATAGATCAATAAGATTTAAAAAATCAGCAAAGAAATAACAAAATTAACCAAACGTGTGAACAAATAGACTTAGTAGACATTTACAGTGTTCCACTCAACAATGTCAGAATACATTCTTCTCAGCTGCACATGGGATGTTCTCTAAAATACACCATATACTAGCCCATAGAATATGTTTAAACAAATGCAAAGGAATTGAAATTATCTTGTACATACTATTGGACCATAGTGCAATAAAATTGGAAATTAATGACAAAAGAAATTGCAAAAACTCCATAAATACATGAAAATTAAATAACACCCTCCTGAACAACCAATGGGTCATGGATGAAAATAAAGAAGAAATTAAACAATGTGTACAAACAAACAAAAATGCAGACACAACTTATAGGAACTTGTGGGATGCAATAAAAGCAGTCCTCAGAGGGAAATTTATGGTGGTGAATTCCCACATCAGGAAAACAGAAAAAGTACAATAAACAATCTTATGCTGCACCTCAACTTCTAGAAAAAGAAGAGCAAGTGAAGCCAAAAGCCCAAAGAAGGCAGGAAATTATAAAGATCAGAGAAGAAATTAATGCAATGGAGACTAAGAAAATACACATAATTAATGAGTCAAAGAGTTTGTTCTTTGAAAGAATAAATAAAATTGATACACCCCTAGGCATCCTTATCAAAAAAGGAAAGAAAAAGCTGAAATTCATGCAATAAGGAATGAAAGGGATGAAATCACTACAGATCCTGTCAAAATTCAGAAGATCATCAATACCGACTTCAAAAATCTTAACTCTTGTAGGATGGAAAGCAGAGGAAATGGACGATTCCTAGATACATATGAATTACCAAAGCTGAATGAAGAAGATGTAAAAACCCTGAACAACTCAATATTAGCCAGCAAAATTGAAAATGTAATAAAAATCTTACCCCAAAGAAAAGCCCAGTTCCTGATGGATTCACTGCTGAATTCTACAAGAAATTTAGAGAAGATTTAACACCAATTCTTCTCAAACTCTTTAGTGAAATTGAAAGGGAAGGAATTCTCCCTAACTCATTGCTGGAGGCAAGTATTACTCTGCTACCAAAAGCAGAGAAAGACTCAACCAAAAAAGAGAACTACAGGCCAATCTCCCTAATGAATACAGTTGCAAAAATTCTCAATAAAATACTAACAAACAGAATGCAACAAATCATCAAGAGGATTATACACCATGACCAAGCCAGATTCATCCCAGGAATGCAGGGATGGTTCAACATATGCAAATCAATTAATGTAATACAGCTTATCAATAGAGCCAAAGACAAAAATCACTTAATCATCTCCACTGATGCAGAAAAAGCTTTTGATAAAGTCCAACACTCATTCATGATAAAAACCCCACAGAAAATAGGAATAGATGGTCTTTACCTCACTCTGATAAAAGCCATCTATGACAAACCAATGGTCAACATCAAACCAAATGGACAAAGATTGAAAGCTTTCACTTTAAAATCAGGAACAAGACAAGGATGTCCACTGTCACCACTCCTATTCAATATAGTTCTGGAAATATTAGCCAAAGCAATTAGACAAGAGAGAGAGAAATAAAAGGAATAAGGATAGGAAAGGAAGAAGTGAAATTATCATTATTCACAGATGACATGATACACTACATAGAAAATCCCAAAAACTCCGTGAAAAGGCTTATAGATTTAATAACCAAATTCAGTAGCATAGTTGGATACAAAGTCAACACTCAAAAATCAATAGTGTTCCTGTACACAAATAACAAACAGACTGAGAGAGAAATTAAGGAAACCACACTTTTCACAATTGCATCTAAAAAATGAAACACTCAGGAATCAATCTAACAAAGTAAAAGATCTATACAGTGAAAATTACAGTACTCTGAAAAAAGAGATCAAAGGAGATTTCAGAAAATGGAAAGATATTCCTTGCTTATGGATAGGAAGAACCAACATTGTGAAAATGACCATACTCCCAAAATTGTTGTACAGATTCAATGCAATCCCAATTAAAATACCATTAATATACCTCACAGATCTAGAAAAAACATTCCTAGGGCTGGGGATATAGCTCAGTGGCATAAATGCCTGCCTAGAGAAAACATTCCTAAAATTCATCTGGAACCAGAAGAGGCCTAGAATAGCAAAAGCAATCCTGGGAAACAAAGGAAAGGCAGGAGGCATCACAATCCCTGACTTGAAATATACTACAAAGCTACTGTGATAAAATTAGCATGGAACTGGCAAAAAAAAACAGACCTGAAGATCAATAGAACAGATTAGAAGATGCAGACACAACTACTAACACACTCACCCACTTTATCTTTGACTAAGGATCCAAACATGTTCACTGGAAGATAGCCTCTTTAATAAATGGTGCTGGAAAAGCTGGCTTTCCACATGCTGAAGACTAAAACTAGACCCATGCCTATCACCATGCACTAAACTAAAGTAAAAATGGATCAAAGATCTAAATATTAAAACAGAAACACTAAATCTACTAGAAGAGAAAATAG